TTGTACATTTTCTGTTTATTTTTGTTCTTTCTTTTCTTCCATCTACTTTGTATTTATTCTGATAACTCTTTGCAGCTTATTAAAACCATTTTAAGCTCATTAATCTTTATTTTTCATCTTTTTCATTATATCATTTAAGACACAGGTTTCTAATTTGCAGCTAGACCATAATTCATGTATTTTGTTCAAAACATGGTATATTATGATTTCCTAACATAAATAATTATGTAGTTAACATAATAGTTTTTTCTTAGATGTGTGTCAGTTGGCTATTATGTTCAGAGAATATGTATGCTATGAGTCCTGGTACTGTATTATAATTTCCTTTAAGGTCTGGAATGTGATCTCCTGCAGTGTTTTGCCTCCTGCTTCTTTGCCACTGTGGCAGCATCAAGGTCTGATTTTTAACATTTCCATGGTCCATTCCTGCCTGTAGCAGTCTAGAAATGCCCCTAAGGTACTAAATCTCCCGCCTCACTCTCTTTCCAGGAGAATCCTAACCTCTCCTTGCCTGAAGCGTCTAGTTTTGTGTGGAATATAGATTCATGGCCGGGGGGAGAGTATGTGTTGTTTATGGCTATACCATGGCTGGTTGTCTTCTGTGGCTTTCTTGTAATAATAATCAAAAGGTTTGAGTAATACAAAAGAACATTTGTTATGTTGTCTTGAAGATTGATTGGAGTGAATGTCAACAAAGTCTTAATAGATTTGTAATTGATACAATTTTGCTTTTTATTTTTTATTATGTGTTAAGAAAAGCTGAACATGAATGGCACACTTCTGTTTTATATAGAAGAGATTATGCCTTGGTCACAGTTTGAAATTGACTTATATGGGTTTATATCCACCTTCTGCTTGGAAAAAGCATATGCTCATTAAGTTTTAAACAGATTGTGTATTTTGAATGCTGTAATTTGTGCTGTATGTATGCAATAGTCTTGTAGACTTGTAACTGGGCCTGTCAGTTGCTTGTATTAATATATATGTGTATCAGTTACCTGTTGTCATGGTAATGCCATGTGCTAGAACCTGAATTCCCTGAACAGCAGCCTATGTTGGCCACTGTCAGCAGAGTTATTGGGGAGAAACTCTGTATGACCAACTCTTATGGAAAAGAAAGGGTCGAGGTGGGATGAGGTTTCAGAAGAAGGTGAAATATGATGTGTCTGCCAACTTCTTGGGGCTGTGTTAGATCAGAATGAAAGGCCAGGCGTTGACACCTCTGTATAATTTACTACAAACTGCACCACGAATAGGGAATGACTTTGGGCAATGAATCTTTCTTAGATTGAGTTTATTGCAAAGAAAACCAATGACTGAAGGTTTTCTGCTCACAGCATTTCTAGTGACTGAATGAAAACAAAACAAACATTACAGTGCCTCAAATTTCAGTGACTTATAGCAAGGAGTGATGATGTCTCATCTACTCACCTACAGCTTGTCTTGGATCTGTACGGTGCTAATCCAGGTACCCCACCGCAGGTTGCACTTAGATTGGCGTTCTGCCTCTCTCCTCCTATGTGGACAAAAGTCTTTGACATGAAAGAACTGACAAAAACAGAAAGCGCAAATGCGTTTTCAGTCTGTTGGGTCACAAGTCTTAATGTGCTGCTGTCTAAGCCCAGTGTCAGAGGGTAGAGAGTACTCACTCTCTTGTGTGGGTCCAGGGGAGGGAGTGAATGTTTGCTGAACAGTCCAGTCTATCATAGTGTGACACTGCTTAATGAACAAAAGATAATCTCATAGCCAAGATTTTCCTGTCAGTCTTTCTCCTAAAATACTTCTGTTTGTCATCCCCATCTGTTATGAATGAGATGAAATATGACAACACCTTCCCTTCTTTTTGGCAAAGAGAACAGCTTGTGCTGGGTTCTTAGGATTTTTAAAATTTAAACTTGAATAGATCTTGCAATGTGTATCTGTATCTCTTAATTGAAAAGTATCTGAAGGGATATTTCATTGTTTTTGGTCTTCATTTTAAATCCTTTTCATCTTTAAAATATTTATTTAATTTAAAAAGCAGAATGTTAAGGATGAGGGCAGAGAGAGAGAATGAGGAGAGATCTTCCATCGGCTAGTTCACTTCCCAAATGGCCAGAAGAGCTGGGGCCAGGCCAGGCCAGAGCCCGGAAATTCCGTATGGGTCTGTCAGATGAGCAATAGGACCCCCAAACACTTGGGTTGTCCTCTGCTGCCTTCCCAGGCACCTTAGTGGGAACTTTATTGAAAGCAAAACAGCTGGGACTCACTTAAGTATGGATTGCTGATGTCAGAAGCAGTGGCTTGACCTCCGTTTTACCTCAACATTTTCCCCTGTTTTCGATTTTTTAAAGTATTTATTGTTACTTGAAAGACAGGTTTACATAGGGAAGGAGAGACAAACATCTTCCATCTTCTGATTCACTCCCTAAATGGCTGGAGCTGAGCCTATCTGAAGCCAGGAGCCAGGGGTACAGGGGTCCAATGATTTGGACCGTCCTCCAGTGCTTTCACCAAAGCCATAAACAGGGACCTGGATTGGAAGTAGAGCAACTAGGACTAGAATTGCTTCAGTGTCTTGATCCCACTAAAATTTCCATTGAAAGTTCTGTTTTTGTTCACATCCGATCTGGTGCAAGTTTGGGTTCCTGTTCATTTAAAAATTTTCAGTGAAAGCAGTGTAAGCTGAATCTATTGAGATATTTACATTAAAAATTATTTATTTGAAAGACAGAGTTACAGAGAGAGAGAGAGACAAAGAGAAAGATCTTCAAGTCGCTGATTCAGGAGCCAAGAGCTAGAAACTTAATTCAGCAGCTCTTCCTCCTGGGTGGCAGGACTCAAGTCCCCTGAGCTGCTTCCTAGGCACATTGGTGGGAACCTGCATCCAAAGTGAAGTAACTGCGGCTTAAACAGAAACTTGGATGTGGGGTGCAGATTTCCCAGTCAGTGGCTTAACCTATGAACAACGATGGTAGGATCTGTAATCCTATGATATGATCTATAGCATCTGCTGTTAATTGTCAATCCTCTTTTTTTTTCCCCTCTGTTTTTTTCCTTCACAGTTGATGTGTATGCTCTGTTGCTGCAGCCTTCATGTTCGACATTGCCTTGTTCTTTCTTAAAATGAGTTCTTTTAAAAGTGATTGTTTCTTTGAGACATTGTCTTCATAAACGTTTTGTAAAACTTTAGTCTTACTTCCCATTCTTCCTCCTAACTTCGATTAGCTTGATGTTTGATCTTGATTTTATTTTAAAGAACTTATGTTGCTTTGTTAGGGACTCATTCCATATGTCATAGCCTTCCTAACGCATCCAACTAGATGTTGTTTGGATATGTTTAACATTTTAGTGAGATTTGTGATAGACATTTCCTGTGAACATTTTTGAGGACCCATTGTATAATCCTGTTATAAAGAGGTCTCTAAATAATATTGTTCTTTTCATTTTCATAGATCAGTTACTCAGACACAGTAATTTAATTTCAGAGATGATGTAAAAATATATGAAAGTAAACACTAAAACTAAATTGCACAGTGTGTTTAGTGAGGTTAGCTAATGAGGCAGCACTTAATTGATTTAAAAAATTACAGCGTAAAGAATAAAGTCAGTTCTAACATTTCTGCAATCCCTGCTACAGAAGGGTGAAAAGAAATTCAATTGGAAGTTATTGCTCTATAGTTGTAACAAAGATAGCAAAAGATAACACATAGCCCGTGGCCTTAACTGTTATTATAATTAGAAAATTGATAACAAAATCACTATAGCTTTCATTTTGTGAGCTGTAACGATTTAAGTGAGATATTAACCCTTCTTGAAATAGTTATTGTATCCCAATTTGTTGACCCGTTCCAAATAATATTGCCTTTAGTCTGTCAACACAGTGATATTCTATGCCTTTATTCAGTGTCTTAGCTAATGTATCACAGTGTAAATAATGTGTAATGCAAAAAAATTTAAGCTTTGATCTCTTAGAGCCTAGTTTATTCAGTTTTATGCTTCATGGAAAATATTTTTGAAATAATTTATACCTAAGGTGTTTTTGCAAAAAGCTAATTATTTGTCCCAATCTAGCTTTCTTCCTTTCAGTTTAGCTTGTAAGTTGCTCTCTCCTGAAATACATGGGAAACTGACATCATCCTAGCTCTTCCATTCAGGCCTGGTCATGTGTTCCTCTTCTTTCAGAACCTTAGTCAGATTACCTGTTTAATGTAGATAGGAAATTTTGTTTGGTCTGTTCAATATGAATGTATAACTTTGTCTTAACTCTCGTACTCATGTTCCATTATTTTCTTCTTAGTTTTAACATTTTGTCTTAATCCAACCAGAGAATGTTTTTTCTAGCTGTGAAATACAAGAAAAGATATGGTCAAGAAAAGATATGCCAGCCTTGAACAACAACTGAAGTAACACTGGCATGAAAAAAATTTTTGCTTTGAATTTACTTACTTGAGAGAGACAGAACTCCCATCTGCTTATTCCCTCCCAAACAGCCAGGACCAACTGGGCCGATATGGGGAGTCAGGGATGCAATCACGATGCCATATAGGTAGCAGGAAACCAATTTGACTTGAGGCCTGCTAGGGTCTGTGCTAACAGAGAGCTGGGGTGTGGGATTGTTAACAGGTATCAAACCCAGGCACTGTATTATAGGCTATGGTTTTCTAATCCTTGATTCCTGTGTTGGAGAATATGGGATCGAGTCCTGATGCCCCCAATCCCAGCTTCAAGCTGATGGCCCATATAACTGGGTCTGACACCCATATGGGTTCTTGGCTTTAGCCTGGTCCAGCTTTAGCCATTTTCAGACATGTAGAAATTGTAGGAACCTGTTTCTTTCTGTCTCACTTTGTCTCACTCTTATTCCCCCATGACTGCCCCTGTCTCTCACTTTAATAAGAAAAACAGTAAAATAATAACAGTAAGTTAGCATTGCCCAAGAATGCATCATACTCTTTAATATTTCTGTTTTTACCCATTCTGCAGTCCAGTTGATGCTTTCTCTGTTTTCTCTTCTGCAGTTTCATGCTATGGATACGTTGTATAGACACAGCTATGATTTAAGCAGTGCCATTAGTGTCTTAGTACCGCTTGGTGGACCTGTTTTATGCAGAGATGAAATGGAGGAATGGTCGGCCTCTGAAGCTAGCTTATTTGAAGAAGCACTGGAAAAATACGGGAAAGACTTCAATGACATTCGTCAAGACTTTGTAAGTAAAATAAAATAAAGTTGGGTTGGGAATGTTTTACTTTGGAAATAACGTCAACTCATCAACTTTGTAGTATTCATTTAGAAAGCATTTGACAGCAGTTTTTTGTGCTCAGGATAGAATGAAGGCTTGTTTTTTCTAAAATTTTTAAAAATTTTTTATAAAAGATTAATTTTCATGATACAGTTCTGTAGGCTCAGTGATTTGGCCTGCCTGCCTTCCCATTTACCCTGCCCCCTACTGTTTTCTTCTACAAGGCTGGTTTTATAGTAGGAAAAACTGGTATTTGTTCTTGGGATTAGTCCTAAGAACTAGGGTCAGCAACCCTGAGATCTTAGGGTCAACTTTTTCAGTTTGACTTCACAGTCTCTGTGAACTCTAAGTTACATGGGCAGCATTCTTCTAATCATGTTCTTTACACTTCTCTGATCTGAGACCTTATTTATGTATTCTAGTTGTCTCACTAATTGTTGAGTCTGAATTTGAGGCAGACTTCTAGAATGGAAGTAAAATTACTTTTGTGAAGCAAATAAAAAAACTTGTGAAGCAGAGCAGTATTGACTTAATGTGATTTTTTTAATCTTGATTATTCTTAATCACACAATTCACTTGCATCTGTATATTAGTTTAATTATACATAACTTTGTTGAAGTATAAGTGACAAACAAACATATATATATTTGGGATCTATAGTGTGGTAACTTAATAACTCAGATTGCAAAATGGTCACCACAGTTAAATCAGTACTTCTACCTTCACACTTAATTACTAATTGTGTTTTTGATCCTTGACTCCTGTATTGGAGGACATGGGATTGAGTTCTGCTTTGCTCCTGATCCCAGCTTCATGCTAATGAGCCTGTAGCTGGTGATGGTGGCCCAAGTAACTGGGTCTGATATCAGGTCACACATGTAGCAGTGACACTGAAGATCTACTTTTTGCTTTAGCGTTTGAATTCTAGTTAATCATATTTCCTTTTCTCTTTATAGGCCTTCTGTTTTTAGTTAAGCTTACAATCTCTTTGAAATCAGGAAATGTTTTTCAGAAGTTCATAAATAGCTCTCTGTAGAATTTATATTTCATTTTAACTTATGAAAGTAGTACCGTTATAGAGTATCATATATTTAATAAGAACCAGATATGCTGGGCCTTTTATCTTATGTATTTTCTGAAATTTTATGAGATAAAATGATTACTTATCATTATGTTTGCTACACTAAGCCTCAAATACAGTAATTAAAGCTGTTAGAGCCACTCAAAGCTGACTAAATTCTTCTGACAAAACTTTATTTTATTCCTAAATTGTCACAGGCTATGATTAAAATTTGTAGGATGTGCAGCTGATAAGTTAGCTTCACATGATCAGAACAACACAGTACTCCAGTGTTACTGAACACAGTTACATCACAGCACAGAAAATGCCAAGAATAGGGGCTGGCATTGCAACACAGTGGATTAAGCTGCCACCTCTGACATTGGCATCTCATATGGATGTAGGTGAAAGTCCTGGCTGCTCCTTTTTGGGTCCAGTTCCCTGATAATGCACCTGGGAAAGCAGCAAAGTGCTTGGGGCCCTGTCCATCCATGTGGGAGACCCAGATGAAGTTCAAGGCTCCTGGCTTCAGATTGGCCTTGTACTGGCCAATGTGATCATTTGGTGAGTGAACCAACAGGGACAGATGTACAGGTGTTACAGAGGACTAGATGATGAGAAACACCAAAATAAAACTACTTTTTCCTGTATTGTGTTTGCACTCTCATCTTTAGAATGTTCTAGTGATTATTCTGAACTTAGTTCCAGTCAGTAAATATTCATTCAGCGCCTGCAACATGCCACTTGCTCAGTTGGGCAATAGGCATGCAATAGGAGTTAGTTCCTAGTCTGCATCAAGAGACTGAAAAATACACATGTGCACCCAGATAACGTTAATGCTTATCAGAAGATGAACAAGTGTTAGGGGAATATTGGTAACAGTTAGTTGTGTTGATCAAATCTGGAGAGGCCCCTTGAGGCTACTAGCATTTTAGCTGGTTCTCTGAAGGTAAAGAGGTAACGTAGCAGATGCTGATGTTAGGTCGTGTACAGACTGCACCTCTTGGCATTTAATATGAGACTAGCAGATAAACCTGGACAGTGATATACTTGGACATAAAAGTGCAATATATTTGGACATAGAAGCTGGCGTTGGTGTGAAAAGCGCTATATGAAAATGAGTATAAAAATTGTAACATAATGTTGTTACTATCCTTACTAACATTTGTTAATGTTATTTTAAAAAGCAGTTGTAGGGGGTTGACATGATCGTATTCAGGCTAATCCTTTGCTCTCACTGCTCATGGCACTGACATCTTATATATGCATCAGTTTGAGTCCCAGTGACTTCACTTCTAATCCAGCTCCCTGCTCATGTCCTGAGAAAACAGCAAAGGATGGCCCAAGGCTCCTGATTCCCACTTATGGAGCTTGTATTCTGTTTCTTTTCTGTTTGCCTTTTATTTCCTTTTTTTTTTTTTTTTTTTTTTTTTTTTTTTTTGCCTTTCTGCACTAGTTATGCTATCCAGTAAACTGTTAAAAAGAGGTGTTAAAGGTCCGGCGGCATGGCCTAGCGGCTAAAGTCTTTGCCTTGAACACACCGGCATCCCATATGGATGCTGGGTCTAATCCCGGCAGCTCCACTTCCCATCCAGCTCCCTGCTTGTGGCCTGGGAAAGCAGTCGAGGATGGCCCAAAGCTTTGGGACCCTGCACCTGTGTGGGAGACCTGGAAGAGCTCCTGGTTCCCGGCTTCGGATCAGCACAGTACCAGCCGTTGCAGTCACTTGGGGAGTGAATCATCGGATGGAAGATCTTCCTCTCTGTATATCTGATTTTGTAATAAAAATAAATAAATCTTAAAAAAAAAAAAGAGGTGATAAGAGTAACATCCTTTTCTTATATTCCTGACAGTTCTTCCACTGTTAGATGACATCAGTTATAAAATTTCTGTATATGTTTTTTATTGGGCTGAGAAAAGTTTTAATTAAAAGTTTGTAAGCATTCTTGTTCTGAATGGATGTTGAAGATTTTAAGGAAGATTATATGCATCAATTGTTATGATAAGGTTTTTCTTTTTTGATTCTTGGTATGGGAGTGATAGTAAGCTTTTAATTTTAATTTTATTTTATATTTGTCTTGTTTTGTTTTATTTTATTTTTTGAGAGAGAGAGACCACCAGTGGACTGATGACTGGGTTCCAGTAACTGAATTCAGGTCTCCTATATGGTGACCATAACCCAGTGAGCTGAATCGTCACCACTTTGTCCCAGTGTCTGCCTTGAGGAATCTGGAATTAAGACACAGACCAAGTATTGAACCTACCAACTCCACTGTGGGATACAGGCTTTTGATGCTGCAGTTTCTTTTCTCTTTTTAAAAAGATTTATTTATTTATTTAATCAAAGGCAGTTTACGGAGAGAAGGAGAGACAGAGAAAAGACATCTTCCATTCCAAAATGTTTGCCATAGTCAAAGCTGATTTGATCCAAAGCCAGGAGTCAGGATTTCCTTCCAGTTCTCCCACATGGATGCAGGTGTCCAAGGACCCCGGGCGTCTTGTGCTGATTTCCTAGGCCATAAGCAGGGAGTTGAATCAGGAATGTAGAAATCAGATCTCAGACTGGAACCCATACGTAATGCTGGTATTGCAGGCAGAAGCTTAACTTATCATGCCATGGCACTGGCCCCAAGGGATATAGGCTTCTTAACCATAGGTTATATGTTTACTGCCCCTGATAAAGTATTTTTCTAATAAATATTTTCATTGTTTTAGCTTGTAATACTTTAACACTTATTGGAAGGATGACCTAAGGTACCTTTTCTGGTATTTGTATAATCTGGTCAGATAATAAACAGCAACTCCACTGAAATGGAAATAAACTACTGGTGACTTTTTAAAAAAAATGAATTTATAAATGTCTATATGTGTGTGTGTATGTGTGTAATGAACGTTAGACTTATAGAGAGACGGAGAGGGGAGAGAAAGAGACCTTACGTCTACTGGTTTACTCCTCAAATGGCCACAACAGCTGGAGCTGATCCAATCCCAAAGCCAGAAGGCAAGAACTCCACGGGGATCTCCCGTCTGGGTGGCAGAGGCCCAAGTACTTGTATCATCTTCTTCTGGTGTTCATATGAAACACTGGCGTTAGACGTGATGGCTTAACCAATTGCACTGGAATGCTGGGCCCCGGTGAAATTTTTTCTTTATTAAACATTATGGATTTGGAAGCAGAGCTGGAGAGAAGGAAAGAGAGAGAAAGTGAGCTAGGTTTTGATTTGATTGATTTTTCTTCATGTATATTCTGTTTCATTGATTTCTGCTTGTATTTCTATTATTTCCTTCCTTCACATTTTATCGTACTTAATTGCTTTTCCTTTCCCTAGTATCTTGTTAAAACTGCAGCTTTCATTATTTTTTGGAAACTTTTATTCCAATATAAGTATTCTTCTTTAACTGACAGTGAATTCAAGGTAGTTTTTTGTTGTTGTGGGAGTTTTTATGGTCTGAAAATCTTTTTACTGTCCCCCTAGAAAGAGAATTCACTCTTCACAGAATCCACTTTTTCTTTATGGATAGATACTCTTAAGCTGCCTTTCCTGTGAAAGTAGCTTTTGGTGGGGAGTTCCATCCTTGTTTCCTTGCTCCTTCCCTCTTTCTATCCCTCGCTCCCTTCTTTTTACACACACACACACAAACTTTTATGTATATTCTTTTTTTTTTAAGTTCTTATCTACCCACCAGTATGGCAAGGGGTTTCTATGATGCATTGCTTCTTTATCTTCAATTCTCTTTACTTTTGATGTACATTATTTTATTTCTTTGCCTAAACTTGTTTTCTTTGTAATTATTCCAGTTATTCTCCTAGCTATTATATCTGTTATTTCTTATTTTCCATTAATTCTGGATAGTTCTCCTCTGATACTGGTCACACACCTCCATTTGCAGGAGGGTAGTTGCACATGTGATCATTGAATGTTGCTTTTCAGCCTCACTTGTCTTTCTGTTGCAGTTCATGTAATCTTCCATGTATGTTGTCCATCTTCTGAACTAGTTCCTTTAATATATTAATCACATTTTATGTAAAGATCTTATCTAGCATTTCCAACATTTTGGGTTGTTTTAGGATTCCATTGTATTACTTACTTTTATTCCTGTACAATGAGTCATTTGCCAGTGTTTTCTTGCTGATTTTTGTTTTTTTTTTTTTTTTGCATGTTGTATTTTTTTATTAGAAATAGAGTATCTTGTGTAAGCAGCAACAGAGACTAAGTTAAGCAGTATTTATCTTTAGAAATGAGTTTATCTTATCTCTCTTCAAGCTGTCAGCATGCATGAGGACTTGAGCCCATCCCTTCTCCTCACTTGTGACTGGTTTGAGTTTCACTGTTACAGCTATCTTGCTTGAGTGGGAAGGCCAACCTCTCACATGTTGGCTTTGTAAGTTTGAACCCCACAGAGCCTCCAAAGCCTATCCGTGAGTTCCCCTGCCCTCTCCCCCCACAGCAGCCAATCACATTTTTCCATAAGACCTTCTGCAAGAACCCGGGGCACCTTACTCTCCTGTTACTTCTAAATCACACTTGCACAGCTCCTCCTGGTACATTCTATTCCTGAGCACAGGTCTCATGTGGCCCTGCATGGAGGTCACTGTCCTCTTCCCCCAGACTGCATACCTGTCGCCTATCAGCTGCCAATATGGTCTCAGGTTTGGTATCAGGTACCATGTGTTATACATGTTGTGTGTTCAGCCATCTTGTACTACTGTGGGGCAATGGATCCCTCCCTGCCTTGTGGGTGAACAGGAGGTGGTTGTGCAACCACAGATTTCAAATTCTCACCTGTAAAGTGTGCTGTTGGCACCACAGTATGTCCTGTAATGCAGAGAAGCTCTCACAGAGCTCTTGGCTCCAGAGCCAGTTTTTGCCTGCCAGCTCAGCTCCAGCTATACTGATGCTTTGTCATACCTTCTCGATTCCTGCTTAATTCAGTTCTGAATTTAGGTCCTAGAGACCTGGAAGAAGCTCCTGGCTCCTTGCTTCAGATCAGATCAGCTCTGACCATTGCAGTCATTTGGGAAGAGAACCAGTGGATAGAAGATCTTTCTGTCTCTCCTCTTCTGTAAATGTGACCTGCCTTTCCAATATAATAAATAAGTATTTTGGAAAAAAAAAATTTATCACAGTATATTAGAGAACCTCCAGGAGGGCCAGGAATCCTGGCTTAGGTGCTGTAAAGTGAAGCTAAGAATCTGGCCTCATCCTTTGCTGACACTGTTTTAGCAGAAACCCTTCCAACAGTGTTTATTGCCTGTCCCAGCAATTTTGCTTGGTTCCTGCTCTCCCTTGACTCTTGTTGATCAGTGCCACATTTCTTAGGTGTAAGAATCTGTACTGCTGCCTATTGTTTAGTATTAGCTGGACTACTAAGGTTACAGTTGAAAGAGGCCGTCTTGGAGCTGACACTGTGATGTATCAGGCTAAGCCTCTGCTTGTGGTGCCAGTAACCTATATCGCCTCTGGCTCTGTCTGTTTTTCCTTTTCTCTCTATAACCCCACCTTTTGGATAAAAGTAAATATTCAAAATAAAAAGTAAAAGAAGCCATTTCTGCACTCCCAGTGGTAAATTGGATGTTCACTTTAATATTTTGTCCTTCATAGGGTCTCTGTTCTTTCTTGTGCTTCAAAGCTGCTTCTGCTTGGGGTTGAACTGCTTCGATAGCATTATTTTGATTGATCCCAAAATATCATGCAAAGCCATCCATTGCATTTGCATTTTTTCCTTGTCAATGAATTTGCTTCAAGGAATTCCCCTAAAGCCAGGAGTTGAGGGTTGAGGGAGAAATGGTACTGCAACAATAGCTGCCTAGAACTTTTAACTTCTGTCTTTTTGATCTATCTCTTTTTGCTAAGAGAGTGGCTTGTGAGACACAACTGATTAACACCCTTTGGACTGGATAAAATATGATTCTCGATGAAGTTCATTTTACATGATTTCAACCTTTCTCAGGCTTACCAATAAACACCACTTGTAGTGCCAGTTTCTTTTAAAAGAATAATATATGTTGAAAGCTCTTAGCTTGTTTATAAACCTTGGAAGTCCACCCCGTGACTGTCCTGTGAGAGTCACTGAAGGCTCCTTATACTGTCTTTCATATAGGTTAAACTTTGTTAGCTGAACAAGTTGAATTTGAAAAATTTGTTTTAGCTATAGGTCATATCATGTGCCTATGAACTGATCTTGTAAGATGACTACCTATGATTCCACTGTAGGAGTTATTGCACAATTAAGCATAAAGTAGTTAACTTGCTCTAAAATTTATTTGTTTCCCCCCCTTCAGACCAGACGGGTGAATTAAATAGGGAAGGTGATAGGAATGACATGGATGTTCATGTGGATCACAAGCAGACCTCTGGCTACAATGAAAACACTGTTTTAATGCCCTAGTTCTTAACACTGCATGAGGTCAAATTTAGTGGAAGTCACAAGGCTGAATCACTGTGCAAATGTCTGCAATGGTTAAAGATTGTGTTACAGGTCATTTATATCATCATGCTGCTTTATCTCGTTTCATTTGCCTCTTGGATAACTGACAAATCTCCCTTTACTGAAAGTTTAGGTGTTTACTCTCTACACAACAAAATAGGTTTGTAAAAGAAGAGAAAAATATACTGGAGACCAAGTGACACCCTGGTATCTTTGAAAGTAAAAGTAATGCAGACTAAGGCAATTTAATTATCATTTCTAAAGCTGTGCTATAACCTTACCTGTAGGAAATATCATCGGTCATAAAGATTATGATTTTTAATCAAATGGGAAGTGAAAAGTACAGCTAGAGACTCTTTTTTTTAAAAAAAAGGATTTATTTATTTTTGTTGCAAAGTCAGGTATACAGAGAGGAGAGACAGAGGAAGATCTTCTGTTTGATGATTCACTCTCCAAGTGACTGCATGGCCAGAGCTGAGCCGATTTGAAGTCAGGAGCCAGGAGCCTCCTCCAGGTCTCCCACTTGGGTGCAGGGTCCCAAGTCCTTGGGCCGTCCTCAACTGCTTTCCCAGGTCACAAGCAGGCAGCTAGATGGGAAGCAGGACTGCCCAGATTGGCACTGGGCCCAAAACTCCTCTGAATATATCTTACTTGGGATATCTCACGAAGAATTAGTTTGTTTTCTCAAGTGCTTCTTCCAGATGGATACTTGCTTTATTATTTGAAAGCAGTTTTAAATGAAGCACTTCCTACAGCAGCCTATTTACATTATCATGTTACATGTTTTTCTTTTCCAGCTTCCTTGGAAGTCACTGACTAGCATCATTGAGTATTATTACATGTGGAAGACTACTGACAGATACGTGCAACAGGTGATTTTTTTCCCACATTGTTACTAGTATGATTTCATTACCATGAACTTTCTGTTTCTGTTTTAGTACTTCTTAACAGAGCACTAATTTTATTGATTTATTTTTCATTGTAGAGTTACTTTCTTTTGATGATATTTACATAGTTGAGAAGGGTGTGTGTCCATGTGGACCACTTATTATGGTGTGAAAGTCAAGGAATAGGGGAAAGTGGATGAGACAACTGCTTCCAGTCTTCCTTTCTGTTATTCTTGTATCTGGGGGAAGAGGATATGGTCGTTCCCAGCAACCTAACTGCACCAGTACCAGAGGATGTGGGATGTCACCCTAGGGTCCCTGTTGTGGAACATGTTCTGAGAGTGCTGCTTAAATGGTTTCGATGATTCTGAAATGCTGTTGATTTCATTGCTCCAAGGTTGAGGAAATCCCTCAAAGGTCAATTGGCTGACAGAGTCCACCTCAGAGTCTCCACTTGTCCAAATACATGCTGTCAGACACTTGGCCAAGAGAGTTATCCATTTTATTCTGCCCTCTATAGTATTAGATGTCCTCTGCAGGCCTCAGTGAGCTGTCGTGTGTCCTGTGTGCATCTGGGCAAGCTGTCCACAGCACAGGCTTTAGCAGCTGAGGAGGCCCAGTTCTGACATGCATTCCACAATCAGACCACAAATCCTGTGATATTCCTGTGGTTGGGGTTTTGGAATCCAGCAGTTCAGTTTGGAGGAATCCCCAAAGAAACCAGTACTGGATCCGGCTCAGTGCTTGACCCACAACAGCCTACAAACTGGTGATTGCAGTTGCCCAGTTAGTTCGGTCTCATCTCATACACAAACCAGTGGATGCTATAGTCCAGCCCAATCCTGCCCACCACACACTCAGGCCTCATGCACACCAACAAGAACTGCAGCCTGGTCAGAGGTACACCCAATAACTCCCTCTAGGCTTGCCCCAACTCCCAGTTCCTGTGCATGCTGATATGTGCAGCAGGCTGGTCCAGTCCATCCTGCTTCCTCAGCTCTCATAGATATCCTTGGGTCCTGCAACCTAGCTCAGCCTAACCAACCCCACCATCCATCCACCTTACAGTGGTAGTTGCTACCTACTGCCTGTCTAGCCAGGCTCCAGCCCTGGTTTTCATGCTTACTGGTGGGAGCTACATCTCAGTGTCCTTACTAGGACTACTCCCAGCCCTGAATCTTGCACTTTCCAGATGGTACTGTGATCCAGACTGACAGGACCTGCCCCCAGTCTCAGCATTTGCCAGCTGCTGCTGAGGCAAAGCCTGAGCAGCCTGCACTTATTCAGGCTCATGCATGCACCAGTGGATACAGTTGCTTAGCCTGGCTCTCCTCACCCCACAGCCCCTCTACAGGGCTCACACCTCCCTCCATGAGCTTATGTGTGCTAGTGAGTGCTGCGGCCCAGTCTCACACAGCCTGCCTCATCTCGGCATTTGCCAGCAGGTGCTACAGTTTGGCTCGGCCCAACCTTCCTCTAGTTCCAACTCATGCTGGTGGGTGCTACAGCCTAGCCCAACCTGGACAGCCCCTAGCTGGGCACTAATATAAACTGGCTGGTGTTCAGCCCAACTTGGCCTGTCCTGCACCCCATCCTGATTCTCAGGTCAGCCAGTGGGTGCTGTAAACTGACCCAGCTTGGTCTGTCCTACTGAACTAATTTTAAATGTTTTATTTGCTTTATCTTTCAAGACTTTTTTGACGCTAACCTGATTTTGTATTTTTTAAATATCATTTTTAGGACTATCATCTTAATATATATATATATCTTTGACTTCAGCATTCATTGTGGCAGGTAGTTGAGGATGTCAGGGAAGGATATAGGTTCCTTGCATGTGACTGTTGTATCCCTCTGTGAGTGTTGGTGAGAAATACCAACTGTGCAACATCAGCACGAGCTTCTGGAACAAGTCATTTTTATCAGATTTGAACATTTAGATCACTGCTGTCAAGAATATAATTTTAGATAAATGATCTTCTGAAATTTTCTTTCATAGCATTTGTGTTGCTTATATCCCCTACATCTTTGACGTTAGCCATTGTAGTGTTGTTAGTTTCATTTTTTTTCATGATATACATATGATTGTTCTCAAATTTTCTGTAAAAGCAGAGAATCATTTGATTTTTTCAAACCTTCCTAAATGTTCTAAATTCGTGTGACTGTCTGTTACTTTGAATACTATTGACTCTGAGGGGAGAGATACAGTTTTCTAAAATAAAACGCCATTTTAGTCAGTGCTTGTTTTACATCCTTACCTTGGTCATGTGTTGTAACTCACAAAGTCAGAGGCAAATGTTTTAACACGAACATTTTTTCTAATTATGAGGTTACACAGTGTCAAATATTGGAAGCTTTGAAAAGAATTTTAAGGATCACTTTTGTATAGTGAGTTTTTGAAGTTATGAATAATAAACAAATAGCCTGGACCTATTGAAAAATTCCCAGTGTCAGTGCATACAAGTTAAAAAAAATTCTTATTTCAGACAACTTACATAGAAATGAAAACCTGAAAGCCTGTATTACTGAAATCAAAAGCATCTGTACATGTGTTGGAGATGATGGCCTCAAGTGTTTGATGACAGTATTCCCGACAATGTCATACAAGTTGTCCCCCTAAGTGGTTTTGTTTCCACTCATTGGATAAATGAAAGATAGCCCTATATTGTCATTTGTCTTACTTTTGGACATCAGCTGTGTGTTGTTTGCCTTTCCTGTTTGCGTTTGCTGTTGTGTTGATTGGTGTCTGGATTCAATTAAATAATCTCCTTCCCATTCTTTTTCCTGCATTTGGTTCCTAATTAGTTCCAGTAAAATCTTAAGTGAGTTTAGCCAAGATCTAAAGTTTGCTGCATCTCTCTCAGCATTTGAAGATAGATGTGTATTTAGTTCTACTTAAAATAACCACAAATTCTTCTCCTGATTGGATTTTTGGATGTAATCATTCTTCTAAAAGCAAAGATTTTTTTTTTTTCTCTACCAGAAAGGCAAGTAAGAAATGAAGAAGAATCTACATTTGAAAAGTAAAAATATGACTTTAAAAGCCCTGTTTATTCACTCATGAAGGAACTGGGAATGGAGCTGTTCATTGTGCTATTTGAAAAATCTGTGTCTAAATATTAATACTTTAGTTTGTCTCAGAATTCAGCAACTTTCCTTACTGCAGCTCAAGAATATGCATATAAAAGAGAGCTTGTCTTGAAATGGCAATTTTTGAGTTATGCTGTAATGTTTCTTCTCTTGTGTATTTTTAAAGATAATGAAGTGGTAATAATTGTTAGGCACTACATATAAAATATTTTACCCATCTTTTGAATCAGAAACGTCTGAAAGCAGCAGAGGCTGAGAGTAAGCTGAAACAAGTCTACATCCCAACTTAGTAAGTAACAGCAATCTTTTGAAAATATTTTTCATGATCCTCATTCTGTCATTACAAGATATGTCTTTTTCTAAGTGTCAGCTAATCTTGAATTTCTTTGTGTATGTCATTTCTTCTATAAAGCATGTGACTCACTTTGTAATTCATTACTACAAATTTGAAAGAAAAAGGAGCAAGTGAGAGAAATTGCAAGTTAATTAAGAACTACTGGAAGAATACCACAAGAGCTGCAGGGAAAGTTTCAGAAACCAACTTATGAAAGTTTACACCGTTTGAAGCAGATGTGTTTTAGAAATCCTGGGTCTTTGAAACCTCAAAAGCATGTTTTTCTTCTTGTTTCAATACCATTTGGATATTTATAATAAAATTCATTGGGCACACAAAATTAACAACTTATAACAGCCTGCTGCAGATATATTTAAGTTTGAGTCCAAGCTGCATTTGCCTTGGGCAGGACCAGACAAAATGATTTTGTGAGCCTCCTGAAGCCTGCTGGCTGAATGAATGAGCTTTGTTGGACATCATGCATTTCCTTATTAAGTTTGCTGTTTATGTGATAGAGGATTTTACGTAGTTTTCTTGGATCTAGTACCAATCAAAACGTAGATTTCAATAATTTCAGGTGTAGCATTCTGTCATTATCCTATGAGTTTAGAAACTATGGTCATATTCTATGTTTTTCATTTCCTATGTTTTAAATGATCTCTTCAGGTTTTAAATATTGATTATTCAAGAATAATTAGTTTATTGAGTACCATAACTATAGTGCTATCCTAAATTTTTGGGGGGGATTAAAATGACATTTATCACAAGTTTTCCTATGCTCCTGCAAGATTTTTCCCATTCTTTGAGCTATGTACAGTTTTTTTTATACCTAGCCATTTTTCAGTAGATACATATCTTTTTTTTATGTATTGGAGACCTCCTGGGCAGTGACTTAGTATCTTTTATATTAAACTTTTACCTCATACAGCAAGCTATTGTTTAATTTTTATAGTATGCAATTTACAGGGTCCATCATTTTAACTTAAAATTGTGATATTCCATCCTCAGATTTCTTTTAAGAGTAACTCCCTCCACAAATACAGTTGCAGCTTTTGTGTTCTAGAGTTTTAAAAGCAAACATGCCAGCTTTCTTATATATCACAGTGTTGCTAACATCAAAAGAAAATTCATGTCACGAGTTTTAACCAAAGTTATCCAGATCAGCGTTTCTGGTCTGCTGTGCATTGATCTGGCATTCTTGCTTTAAGTCAGGGAACTGTGGGCCAATTCTAATGCCTGTTTCTGCAAATAAAGTTTTAGTGAGATGTGGCCAGCATGGTCACTCATTTGTATATTCACTATTTTTGCTTTTGTATACAGTGACAGAAATTATATTACTTGCAAACCTATAACATTTAGTATTTTCCTTTGCAGAAAAAAATTTTCAAGTGAATGGTTTTAGGCATCAAGATTATAGAAGAACACTTCAAAAAGCTTATGAAAAATTGAATAAAAAGTTCATTTTAGTACAAAATATTTTTGAAGTCCATGCATAGTTTTTATATGGCATTTTCCATGAACTTTTAAAAATTAGTTTATTTTTTTGAAAGGCAGAGTTAGAGAGAAGAACACACACACACACACACACACACACGGAGATATCTGCAAACTGCTGGTTCACTCCCGAAGTAGCTACAATGGCCATGACTGGGCCAGGCGGAAGCCAGGAGCCAGGAACTTCATCCAGGTCTCCCATGTGAGTGAAGGGGTACATATATTTGGACTGTCTTTCACTGCTTTCTAGAGACATCAGCAGAGAGCTGGATCAGAAATAGAACATCCAAGACTTGAACCTGTATCGATGTGGAATGTGGGCATCACAGATGGCTGCTTCAGCTACCATACCACAATGCTGGATCCCCCACCATGAACTTTAAAAAAAAAAAAAAGATGTATTTATTTACTTGAAAGCCATAGCAAAGAGAAAGAGTACTGTTTCACTCCCCACATAGATGAAATGGCTGGGATTGACCCAGGCCGAAGTCAGAAGTCAGAAGCCTCCTCTGGCTCACCCACATTTGTGTAGATGCTCAAGCATTTGAGCCATCCTCTGCTGCTTTCCTGAGTACATTAGCAAGGAGCTAGATAGGAAGTGGAGATGCCAAGATTTGAACTGGCACCTATATGGGGTGCCAGCCTTTAGGCAGTAGTTTTGCCCTATATGTTATAATTTTGCAAACCCTTCCCTCCAGCACTTTTAAGATCTTTGTGTATGTATGAATAGTAATAAGGAGGATACAGAAAGAGATCAAGTATATGAAGTTGTAGACTCGGTTGTATAGATGAGGGAGTCACTGCTTAAAAGAAATGGTGGTTTCATATGATGTGTCCTTAAAAGACATCTTTATGTTCATTTCCCAGAGACAGATTGCCACAATGATATCATTTTTCCTGTGAGGATTAATCTGTGGGTCCTTGGTTTTTTAGAGCATTTTCTGCGATCCACATGTTCTTACACAGCCTTGGCACGCGTTCCTTTTATGATTCTTAAAATCAGTGGTTTATCCAGTCAAGTAGCATTCAAAAAATTTGTGTTGACTGTCATTCTTTTTTCAGGCAGTTCAACTGTAAATTTGCATGAGCTGTTTCAGCACATATATTTAGCCCTGCGTTAAATGTCAGAAGTTTTCTCATTTCTGGGAATCCTCTGCCTAGTCATTTGAATTCAAAGGACAGTTACCTGTCTCACTTAAAAGTGCATTTTTAAGACAAATTTGCCTTCAGAATATATTGGTAATACAATAGGTGAATAAATAATAACCCTGTTTTATACAGTCAAGACTTCAATGTCCAGAGGTTAAGTGATTCCTTTGTGTGATTGTTTTGTGTCTATGTGCCTGTTGGGGGTTATCTTCTGACTGTTGCAATAATGATGCCAAAAAGAACAAACTTAGGTAGAACTGGAGAGAGGCAAGTCCTTGGGTCCACTCTTCTGGGGACTTCATGTAGCTTGGTGGGTGTGACTTCTCATTCTGGAGCCTGGCAGAATGGCTCAGTTGGCTAATCCTTGCCCTTCAAGCATTGAGATCCCATATGGGCACCAGTCCATGTTCTGGTTGCCCCACTTCTCATATAATTTCCTGCTTGTGGCCTGGGAAAGCAGAGGAGGAAGGCCCTGAGCCTTGGGACCCTGCACCTGTATTGGAGACTTGGAAGAATCTCCTGGAAGAAGTTTCAGGTCAGCTACTTTAGGAGTGAACCAGCAGATGGAAGATCTTACTCTCTCCTTTTCTCTGCAAATCTCCCATTCCAATAAAAATAAATAAATCCTTAAAAAAAAAGAATGTAGTCTGCATGTAGGACATAGTCTACATTTAGCCATTCAGTATGTATTCCTAATAAATCATTGCTAGTTAGATTTGCTTTTTTATTTTTTTTTTGTTTAAACAAAACAATACATGTCTAGCAAATAGGCATGAATAACCCTTTAGAAAGAAAGCTACATTGGTTCCAAGAATGTTCAAAGAATGTTGTTTATCTGGCATTGAATAAATGTATGTTAAGTGAATTCTTAGTTTATTGAAGACATTTGATGTGCAATTTTGCAATATTCTTGTGTGTGGTTTTTAAGCAGAGATGTTAACCTGTGATAGATTGGACCAGTTAGCCAATTTATGTTTGCCCAGTAAGTACCAAGATAGTTTAGACTGGGGCAGACGTTTGGCACAGTGGATAAAACACCACTTTGGATGTCAGTCTCATATTGGTATGCCTGGTTTGAATCTCTCCTCTGCATTTTTAAAATATTTCTTTTCTGGAAAGGCAGTTAAGATTTACAGAGAGGAGAGACAGAAAGATCTGTCCACTGGTTTGCTCCCCAAGTGGCTGCAGTGGCAAAAGCTGAGCTGATCTGAAGCCAGGAGCCTGAAGCTTCTTCTGGGTTTCCCACATGGGTGAAGGGGCGTTGGGCTCTGGGCCATCCTCTATTGATTTCCCAGGCCACAAGCAGGGAGCTAGATGGGAAGTGGTGCTGCTGGGGCATCCATACGGGATCCCAGTGCATGCAAGGCAAGGATTTAGCCACTGAATCCTTGTGCTGGGCCCTCAAAAATTGTTTTTTGCGTAAGCGGCTGAGTTTTACATGGCTTTTTTTTTTTTTTTTTTTAATCAAGATGAATGCTTTGGGTCAATGTGAGTACCTTGCTTGTACTAGTCTTTTTATTCAGACATTTTGAAGAGTTCATAATTATGATAAATCAGAAATGACATGTAGAGCTTTTTTGCCTTGTTTATCCAAATCATTTTTATCACTTCACTTTACATTTCATTGGAAGCAGCAAACCAAATCCCAACCAAATATCCACCAGCAATGGCAAGCCTGGGCCTGTGAATGGAGCAGTGGGGACCACATTCCAGCCTCAGAATCCCCTCCTAGGGCGAGCCTGTGAGAGCTGCTTTGGTAAGTGTTTTCCTCCAGGCCTCTCTGGAGGAGATGGGGTGGGAGTTTTGAGTAGCTTTTCTGCAATGAACATATGCCCTTCCTCACCTTCTCTCTGGACAGCAGGCAGTAGTTAGATGCTTACTGCGTCCACACCTTAGCTAGACTTTAGGGTCCCCATGATTGCTTCTCCACATCCCTAGGTTGTGTTTTCTTTATAGTTCAAAATTATGCCAGCTTTACCCACATCATAATAAACCAGATCATCTTCTAATTTTTCTCAGTATACTTTGAAAGATTAAAGGCAACGTGTAAGATTGTAGGGAAGACCTACATGTAAGACACATTGCTATTTATAACCCTCAGACCAGCTCCCTGCGGGCACTGATTTGGAACACATTATTTTGTGGTACTTGCTTTTGGCCCCAGGGCCCTGTAGTTTGATTGTGGCACAATAAGATGGTGTTCTATTATACTTGCCTGGTTGTTAAACAGAGTTGGGCAGATTAGTATTTAGTAGGTGATCTACTCTATACATTTATTTACAATCTCAAACATCAGTATGATCTCTTCACAAAAAATTTTTTTTAATTTTTGATGTTTACCTAGTTGGGAAAGATGCTTGCCCATGTGGACCACTGATTAGAGTCAGAAGGGTTGAAGAATAGGGGAAAGTAGGGAGACCATTGTTTTCAATTTTCTTTTTACTCTTCATGTATCTGGGGGAATGGGAAAGAAGCCACACTTAGCATCTTAACTGCATTAGTACCTGAGTCTGGGGAAGGGTTGTCTGCTGTCATGCCAGGGTTCCCAGTATGGAGCATGCTCCAAGCATTCTGCTTAAGTGGTTTTGATAGTTCTGAAATGCTGTTGATTTTGTTGCTGCAAGAATGAGGAAATTCTTCCAAGGTCCGTTGGCTGACATAGTTCACCTTTACAGTCTCTATTCACCCAGAAGCTTGCTGTCAAAGCTTAGCTGGGAGAGTTGTCCAGTATATTCTGCCCTCCATGCTCTGCTGTGGTACTAGATGTCCTCTGCAGGCCCCACAGTATAATCTCTTGATGGGACATCAATTACATTATGATTTATGTGTTTTTCTAATCAAGAGTTACCAAGTGTGGGAGAGACAGAGAAAGATCTTCCATCCACTGGTTCACATCCCAATTGGCTAGAACAGCTGGAGCTAAGCTAGTCCAAAGCCATGAGTCTGGAGCTTCTTCTGGGTCTCTTACGTGGATAGAGGGCTCAAGTACTCAGGCCATCCTCCACTGCTTTCCCAGAAACATTAGCAGGGAACTAGATTGGAAGTAGAGCTGCTGAGACTCAAACTGGCACCCACATAGGATGCTAACATTGGCAGGAGACAGCTTTACAACTCTACCACAACACCCGCCCCCAAGTAGTGTCATTTTTAATGTGTTTATGAGCAGTATGGTATTTTAATTTCTTATTTGAGATCCATATGTTAGTAGTAAATATCATAAGCTGTACACTAATGTAGATTAGAAAATTTATGTTCATTTAAGAATTTTAATGATAAGAATTTGGTATTTTCTACTTATTAAATCATTGAGTTATTTGTAGGCAAAGACATTTATTAATGCATACAAAATGACTTTTCGAAGTCAGTGTTTGGGGCTGTTGCCATGGCTATATGGACTAATCTCCCACCTGCAAGTACCAGCATCCCATATGAGCACTGATTCATGTCCTGGATGCATCGCTTCCCTTCCAGCTCCCTGCTTAGGATCTAGGAAGGCAGCGGAGGATAGTCCAAGTTGTTGGGACCTTGTACTCTTGTGGGAGACGTGGAGGAAGCTCCTGACTCCTGGCTTTGGATCGGCTCAGCTCTGGCCATTGTGGCCATTTGGGGAGTAAGCCAGTGGATGGAATGTCTTTCTCTCTGTCTCTCCTTCTCTTCATAAATGTGATCCTGCCTTTGCAATAAAATAAATAGATATTTTTAAGAATAATAATAATAGTTAAAAGATGGGTGTTTAGCCTAGCAGCTGAGATATCAATGAAGATGTCTGCTGGGTTCAATGACCAGTTCTAGCCCCTGACATGAGCTTCCTGCTACCGCCTCCTCTGGGAAGCAGCTATGATGGCACAAGTGATTGGGTTCCTGTCACTCTTGTGGAAGGTCTGGATGGGGTCCTGGGGTCAGAGCTGGGCTTGCCACTTGTGATAACAACAGATAGGAACTCTTACTCTTTTGCTTTTACTATCTGTCTCTCTTCCTCAAATAAGTAAGATATGGATTTTTGTGTTTCTTAATTATGGCCTGTCATTAGTGTCAGTTAAATTTTATATTTAAATATAAGTGAAATTTCATATTTTGAATCCAAATACATCCATGGCTTAATTTGTAGGATCTGAAAAATGTTTTGTTTAAAAAGAATCAACTTGGCTATTTGTTTTGAATTATTAGAGGGAAGGCTTCTATGCTTCTATTTGTAAAGATCCCCCCAAAAATAACAGCGAATACACCATAATATTCTGAATAGAGTAAAAGGCAACCTGAATGTAATTCACTGTTTTCTTTTTTGCTGTTGAATTGGGAGGTGTTGGTTGGCATCTTAATATACACCATTTGAACATTATGGCCTGAAGAAAATAACTTATTACAGATCAGAGAAGAGTATTCAAGGCAGATTTGTAGCACTAGAAACATTTTTATGCTCCACTTGGAGTAACTGTTTCAACATCAATGTTTTCTATCTTAAACTTCAGATCCATTCTGGATGTGAATATTTAAATATGTTACATAGCTGTGATTTAATCTGCAAGATAAAATTATTACAGAATAGCAATGTTAGTCAGCCATGTGAAAAGTCAACATATTTGGGTCTTTAATTTACATTTTTTAAAAAGATATATTTATTTTTATTGGAAAGTTAGATATATACAGAGAGGAGAAGAGAGAGAAGATCCTCCGTCTGATGATTCACTCCCCAAGCGATCGCAACAGCCAAGAACTGAGCCAATCTGAAGCCAGAAGCCAGGAGCTTCTACCGGGTTTCCCACGTGGGTGCAAGGTCCCAAGGTTCTGGGCCATCCTCGACTGCTTTCCTAGGCCACAAGCGGGGAGCTCCACTTCCCTAAGTGGAGCTGCCGGGATTAGAACCGGCACCTATATGGGATCCCACTTTAACCACTATGCTATTGTGCCCGGTCCAGGTCTTTAATTTACATTTTTCCACAAGCTGTATATGCTTACTTGATAGGGATTTGTAGTTTTTGAAAAAGATTCTGTTTTTAGAAGAAAACTGTAAAATAAAATATTTAATTGATTAAAATAAAGGATTAGAAAATAGAGTCTATTTCTGTTAGATTCCTAACCTTTTCAGTGAAGATTGGAAAACCTTAAATACTGTAAATCATCCAAGGATAGGTAGTTTCTGAACCATGTTCTTAGGAACTGTGACTTACTCCCATACCAAGATAAACTTTAAACTGCTGGGACCTGGGAGCAGATTCTGGAAGGGGCTTGTAGGCTCACCTCTGTGGGACTGCATCCCTGCTGGTTTACACAGAGAGCTAGGGGATGTGATAGGCTGAGCCAGGCTGGACCCCACAACTCACCTGACTGAATAGGTTGGACAGTTCTCCTGGCCAAACTTTGCAGCGTGCTCCTCTGTCTGTGGATATACTAGGGTTAGCTTTGTCAGCCAATACACCTTGCTTGGAAAGATTTTCTCAACACTGGAGCAATGAAACTAACAACCTCTCAAAGCCATCTAAACCACTCAAGCAATACCCTGGGACCACTCTTCCCCTAGTGGGGTCTGTAAGATCATCAAATGACTATCTCCATCCCCAGGTGCTGATGTTGTTTGACAGCCAAGAAGCAACCCTCCTCCCCCGCCCCTGTCTCCTCCTCTTCAAACACAGGACAAATCAAAAGACTGAAACATTTGTCCCACCCACCTTCCTTCTTACTTGACCCTCCCACCCTAATTGGAGGCATACATGGGCATGCATTCCTGTTAACTATGGAAATAATATTAAAAGTAAAATAAAAATTTTTTTAAAAGAAACTGATTTAGGGTTTAAGCATAAATAATAAAAATACTATCTTTATGAGAAATGTGCATCAAAGGTATTTTGAATTAGTGAAACAAAAACTTGCTCAGTATTAAAATACTGAGGATGCTTCTCCAAATAGTCTCTGTTAATACTTATCACAGACACTTGATACATGGTTTAATGGAAAATACATGTATATGTTCTACTTTTATGTTTGGCTTATCAGAGAAAGAAAAGTTATGCTACACACTTAAAGATGCTTTGGGACATTTTTGAAGTATTTGATAATATTTGTTTTAATGTTACAAATTACATGGCAATCTATTTTTTTTTCTTATTTTTCTCTCATCTTTAGCTACACAATCTCACCAGTGGTACTCCTGGGGCCCACCTAATATGCAGTGTAGATTATGTGCAACTTGTTGGCTTTATTGGAAAAAATACGGAGGCTTGAAAATGCCCACCCAGTCAGAAGAAGAAAAGTTATCTCCCAGCCCAACCTCAGAGGTAACATGAGCAGTAGTCTTTTCTGGTGTTGAAAATGTCTTGTTATTCAGAGATTAGAAAACCAAAGTATAAAGATGATGTCAGAGTGAGCAAAACTAGTTTTATAACTAACATAGTACCTCTATATTCAGGGTTGTTGTGGAAGGAGAAAATGGAAAAGCAGGTTTTTTCCTCCCAGGTGTTCAAAAGAATGATCATAATGCAATTACTCAGACAAAGGGGTACTATAAGTGGGAGGTGTTAGCACAACCAGAGTTGACAAATTAAATGTTTGTTACCTTCAGGTACTGTTAAACATGTTCTTACATAAAGTAACAAATGTAAATTAAGCATTGTCTTCTTCCTCAGGCTATTGTGGAAGAACAGTAAGATACAGACAATAGTTGATATATGATTTTGGTAAAAATTCTCCCGGATTGAAGCTGTTTAAACCCCTTTGTCTACCAGAGGGCGACAATTATTTCCCAATACTCACAGGGTCTCAGGACTCCTTGACCTAGAAAACAAACCAAAAGGAAGGCAGTTCCCTCACCAGTTTCTTACTATGTTAGTGTGATTTGGAGTTGCTCCGTAGAAGCACAGGTTACACCTCCAGTTGCATTCCCTTCTCACCTTCTTCCCAAGGAGCACACTCTGCTCTCTCTGTTGGGAGTAGAGTAGTAAGGGTGGAAGATTTAAAACCCGTGCTGTGTTCTGAGCATGATGCAAGTAGTAACAACTTTGACATGCTCTGTTTGTTAATGTTTGTTGATCTCTGACTTTGCAGGACGCCCGGGTCAGAAGTCACATGTCCCGCCAGGCCATGCAAGGGATGCCAGTCCGAAACACTGGCAGTCCAAAGTCTGCAGTGAAGACGCGTCAAGCTTTCTTCCTTCATACTACATATTTCACAAAATTTGCACGTCAGGTCTGCAAAAACACTCTCCGGTTGCGGCAGGCAGCAAGACGGCCATTTGTTGCTATTAATTATGCTGCCATTAGGGCAGAATGTAAGACGTTTTTAAATTCTTAACCTTACTTGTTGTGCTTCTGACCATCTTCTTTCACTCTTTTCTCTGTGTTTTTTTCCCCCCTTTTGGTTTGTTTGTTTGCAATAAACATAAGTTCCTGTGTACAGCCTTTTATTTGTTTTTTTTTTTAACATTGTTTTTGTCTGTTGCCATTTGTATCATGCCAACCTGAAAGAAAAAAAAAATCACAATTTCTATAAATATTTATCAAACAAATAGTGGTGCACAGTAAAAGGGTGGTTGGAGGTGATCCTGTCCCTGGAGTTTTGTAATGGAATTGCTTAAAGAGCCCTGCTTGAAACATTTTTGCCTGTTCATGGTGTCTCAACAGAACCCCTAAGGATGGTGTTGCAATGAAATTCTGTATGATGCAACACAGGTCAGACTTACTTGGATTCATTGAGTTTAAATAAAATTTACCAGTACACTAATTAGAAATTGTATGTCTTAGTAAACCTCTCATTTTCACATGACCCTTTTATTGTCATACAACAGAAGAGATTCACAGTACACTGCATAGCACATTTCTTTATTAGAGGGTTTAGGAAATGACAAAAATTTTGAAATCATTTTGGGTGATTTTTCTGAAAGTACACATTAGGTTATTACAAGCCATCATGTGAATTTGTGGTCAAGCAGTCTATTTGTGTTATTTGTTTTCCATTTCATAATCACATATATATCACTACATAACATTGCATGACATCACTTATTTTCAACAATTTCAGTCGTATGCTTCCTTTTATTAGAACACAGGCCGTATTAACCAGTGAACTGTTGATTTTACTGTTAAAGCCATGTATCTGCAATATGTACATAATTTGTGTGTTTACTCTGGAGTCATACTCTGGCTAATATATTAGAGCCATGCAGTTCTTCCCCTCAGGAATCAGAAAGCTTGCTGTCTGCATAGACAGGAAATCTTAAAGGCAGTCAGATGCTGTTTCTTTACTTTTCTTTTTGTAAGTTGCTCCACTTTGATTCATAAAAGGAGTGATGACTGAGAATACATTATTTTTGGTTTTCGGTTTTTCGCAAAGGTAATTTTGAACAGAATAGTCAAAAGGCTTTGCAACTCACAAGTAAAAGCTCAGTAATAGAGGAAAAGTGCTTTGTGAAAAGAATAGTGAAACTGGTAGCAATATCAGATTCCCACAGAGGAGAAATGGAATGTTAGATTCAGGGATATTTGAGAATTTAGTTTTTAACTCGAGGTTCTTGTACTAGCATTTCCGACTAAGTGTTCTTAGCTTATCTCCTTACCCATTTTGAGGAACTGGGAATAAACATGTTCAACCAAATTGTTGCTTTAAAACACATATATTTTAATGTGATTTCTTAACTAAAAAGAACAATAAAACATTTGAGGAAGAAAATTAAAAAATTCCTGCATTGAAATTGACCTGGAGCCAGTGTCATCTTTGTTCCTAGGAATGGAAAAGAAACCGTCACCACCCACCTTAATTGGCTGCTGAGGAACCTTTGTCTCCTGTTGATTTTCAGTTAATTTGCATGTCGTCTTTATTTTGACTCTTCTTCAACAAAGTGCGTTTTTCTGTCACTTCATTCTAATTTTTTTCCTTAATTGAAGGTCATGTGCTTTAAAAAAAAGTCAAGATTAGATTACCTGTATTTTATTTCTATAAGCATATAGAAAAGAATATTTATTGTGATGAGATTAAAAGAGCATATGTTATTATGTATGTATCTTCAGGGGTTACAGAGAATCAGATTGTTATAATAATTAATGCTACCCTAATAGCTAAAATGACAATGTTTCAGTTGCATCCAGTCATTGTTTTTTAGTCAACTAATTAATCTTTTTCCTAGTGTCTGAGTCTGATCCCATCTTTACTCTTACGCAAATTGTTACCTGTTTGTCAGGTCTCTTAATCCTGGCTTGTTACGGAGACTAGATTTTAAGGTTGTCCCCAGGCAACCATGCATGTCATCCACCGGCCACACATAGGTAGTTTTGTTTTTGCTTTCCAGAAGATTTTTGCTTGGTTTTCCCAAGGGCAATGATGACAACCCCCACCTAATACCCCAATAAAATTAACATACCTCTAAATCCTTTGGAAATTTGTTATTCTAAAAATATTGATAGGTTAACAGTTATAATTAATACATATTTTGAATAACATTATGCTGAGGAAGAAATGAGTTTTTCTTGTGAGCACACTGAAAGGTGACCCCTTCCATGACTTGGAGTGGCAGCAGTATGGCGCCCAGTGACACAGGCAGACTTCATGAAGTAAAGACTACCTAAGGGTGTGGAAATAGCAAGCTAGGGAGACAGACTCAAATAACTGAGAGAAGCATTGGTCCCAACTATTCATCCTTGATTTATGAAGTAGTTCCTGTTGAGAGGAAACTTTTTGGATTGGGCATAACATTCTTTGGCCTTTATGTTCATCCAGAAGTATTTTGAAAGACTTGGTAAAAAGAAGAGTCTTTGCAAGAAGTTAAGAAGGCGATGAGATTTGTTAATATTTAAAAATTTTCCTTTTGAGTCATGAAAATGTTTCCTGTTTATAACTTAAAAGGAAGTAAATAGTATGACCAATATATGTTTAAAATTTGACAAGTCTATCTATCTGAATGTATGTAATTTTAAAACCAATTTCCCCAAATATCCATTTAGATTTAAATAATGTGCCCTTATATGTATATATATATAGGTTCATGCCAAAAATTACTACCCCCCAATAAAATGCCCAGGCCTGTTCTGCCATGTGTACAGTGCTTATAAAAATGCCTTGGTGGGCCAAAACACAAAACATTACATAAAGTCAAGTACTGTGTTGCTGACAAGACTTGGAGCCCAAATAGCACAACATCTAACCACATTAAGTTTAGGCGTTCTATCTCTTCCTCATGCTCCCCCCACCCCACCAGCAGTAAAGCAGTAAAGCTATACCACGACAACAGTGTCTTTTCTCACTGCCATGAGCTAGGATCTCAGACTTCCTATAGGACTCTGTCAAGAATGAACAAATTCAAATACCTGATGAGCACAAAGTATGATTTTACATTTGTCAGAGACTGAAGTTAATTTAATTGTATTAGAAGGATCGTATTTGATAGACATTCATAGAAGCAGTTAATAGGAAAAGGTTGCCCTGGCAGTTTGCACAGATGAGCAGGTCTCAGAGCTAACACCAGACTCCAGCAGCCTCTGTATTCCCCTGTATGCAGTTATCTGAAAGTTACCAAAGGCCAGTTTTCTGTTTGAAGATGTTAGTACAGATTTGAGAGAATCCCAGGACCCCCAATTCATGAGAATTTTGTTGAATATTTTAAGTGTGTGTCTAGTGATTTCTCATTGAAAGTGGTGAATAATTGTAATGTAATTTGCTAAAATTTTAAGCCTTAAAGATTAGAACAGTTTTGGTTTATTTTGGTATTTTTGTTAATTTACTTACAGTGACATTTTATTTCTAAATAGATACTTTAAATGTGCTTAAAGGTGTAAAAGTGGTTACATATCACCTTTCCTATTCCTGACTTACCCATTTCAGAAGTAGCCAAAATTATTGTCTTAAGTATCCATGATTAATGTGTGCATTTGTAAGGATCTAGGAAGATATATTCTTATGTTTTGTGAAGATTTTAGCATTCTGTATACATTGTTCTATCCCATGATTTAACCTCCCTATTTAATTTTTAGGTTATTTTCAATGATAAATAATGTTGCAACAAACATGCAAATGTCGTTTTGCACTGTCTGCAAAATTTCTGGGATAGCTGGGTCAAGGCACATGTGTTTGAATTTCTGCTGCCATTCCTCAGTTGTCCTCAGGGAAACTGCAGTTCATGTCCAGTGAATGCCCACTTCTCTCAGACCTTGTCACCTGTTAGACCAGTGACACATAGTTAGTTTGCATTTATTGTTTTGAGTGAGATAGAAACCTTTGCTTATATTTGAAAGTAATTTTTATTTCCCTTTCTATTAACTGTTGAATTTTTAACATCTTAGTGGATTTTTTGTTGTTTTGAGAGGCAGAGTTCTCTCCCTAAATGCCAGGATGTTACTGGGAACTAAGAACTCAGACCACACCTCCCAGCTATGGCAGGGGCCCAAGTGCTTGAGCCACAACCTGCCGTATCCAGGGTCACATCAGCAGGTGTGAAGTCAGAGTGAAGTCAGGGCTCTAACACAGGCACTCCTACAGGGACGCCCTGGCAGTTCAGGTGACATCTTGATCTCTGCACCAGACACCCTTTTTGAATGAAGTTAGCTCTTTAACTGTGATATGCAATGCAGATATTCCCCGTGTTTTGTATTTCTCTTTGCTTATAGTACATTTAAAAGAACCAGGCAAGTTCTTTTTAAAAAGGATTTTTTTTTTTTTTAATTTGGAAGACAGAGTTAGAGAGAGAGGTCTTCCATATGATGTTTCATTCCTCAAATGGTTGCAATTGCTGTGGCTGGGCCAGGCCAAAGACAGGAACCTGGAACTCCATCCAGAGTTTTCATGTGGTTGGCAGAGGCCCAAGCACTTGGGCCATCTGCTGCGTTCTTAAGTGCTTTAGCAGAGAGCCGGATCAGAAGTGAAACAGCAGAGATGCTAACTATTGCACATGTGGGATGCTAAAAATGCAGGTAGTGGCTTTACCCACTACTATACTACACTGGCCCTGCAGTTTAAAACAAAAGTTTATCCTTATCAAAAAAAAAAAAAAATTATGGCCTCTGGGTTTTGTGTCTTGTCTAGAAATGCTTTTAGAGTTCTACAAGCAAATTGTACTGATGGTGTTTTTTTTTTTGGCAGGGGTTTTGAAAGCCATGTATTTTAAATGAGTTTTAATTCAATGGATATATTTTGCAATTTTTCTGTTTCAACCATACTCCCAGTATTTCTAAAATTTGCGGGAAAAAAGTAAATATGAGTTGAAAAATTAAAAAAGACTTATCTTCCATGTTTACCTCAAGCAGGCAGGGCTTATTCCTACAGAAGCCAAAGAACTGTGTCTGCCCAACCGGGACTCAGGTTGGATGCTGATGTTCCCTCTCTTCCTTCTGGTTCTTCAGGCTTTTCTCTGGTCACTGCCTTCATCTCTGCACTCTGTTGGCATGTCTTTCTGCAAGATGAGCACGTTGAGTGATTAGAGAGCAAGGACTGACAGGTGGCACCCCATGCCAGAGGGTATTGAATATGGCCCAGATCATCCTGTGAATGATGGCTGTTGTCTCAGGGAGTGGCTGCAGTTCTTCTAGAGTTAAATGTGATTGTAATCTTAGCACCTTTCTCTCTAATCTCTTCCTAGTTGAGACATAATTCTTGCCACCAACTTTAAAATGTCATGAATATTAGCAGATGATGGATCTCGCTGAGGAGTTCTGATCTTAGCTCAGAGGTGCCTTGTAATGTGAATCTTGACTTGAACATCTGATCGTTAATCCCACTGATTTAATGAAAATTAGGAGCAAAATGAGTATAGGCTAAAATGAAAAATCTCTAAAAGATATTACGTTGATGATCTCTTCAGTGGATTTGTTCTTATCGAAGTAGTGGTTGTATCCCTCAGTGTCCGTAAGTTGCAGCCGTGGTAGCTGTTTGCCATTGGACCTCACACACTGAAGTCAAGAGCCACGTTAACCTTATTCCTAGGAATATAGCTTTTGCCATTGTCTTAGACATTAAGAAAACAACCAAGATAATTCACTCAAGCTTTGTTACTAGAAAAGTAAAATGCTGTCTAGTCCTTATCCAATCAGAACTTAAATTTTAGGTGAGATAGTAGTATGAAGAAGGAATTATATGGTAATAACTCAAGGATTTGATAAGTGTTTGTTCCTTGCGTGTTTGGGTTGCTTCCTGATGATCATTTTTTATTACTTCTCCGAAGGATGCTTCTGGTATTTCTGCCCCTGTCTTTGCTGTTGTTCAATAGCAGGTGAAAAATATCATAAACAATGTTTTTCCCAAAGAAAAGTTATTAAAAAGGAGAATAAGAAATCAGATTATTTGTCATTTTTAGTGGCTACATAATTAACCAATAATGGGGGTACATAGATTATTGTTGCTTGTGTGTTCTCTTTTTTTAAGTATGATTTTCTCACCTAATAGTATTGAGGAAAGAATTTTTCTTGGTATAAAAAAGGTCTAGAATTTATACAAAAGGTTGTATTTTAAATTATTTGAAGTTCTACATTAAATTTTACATTTTAACACCATTAGCAGATTGCTCTGAGTGTCAGAAAATTTCCTGCATTCATGTCTAGAAATGCAAAAGGTAAAATTCTCTGGTAGAATAAAAATCTCACAGGTAAAGAAAAAGCATAAACATGGTAGAGTCATATCAGCTAAAGCTACCCTTTAAGCTTCAAGACAGTATCTACAAATTAAAGGAATATTTCAATGCCCAATATTTTTTGTTTTGTCTCTTCAAACTTTTTATAATACAGCTATTTGGGGTGAGAGACAGCCATGTTCCACATCTACTCTTCCATCTGAAGAATTAATTAAAAGTGTTTGCATTGTCTATTTTCTCTGTCTGACTTGTCTCATGATAAACTGAGGAATGTGACAGAAATATTTATGATCTAATATCTGTTCTCAGAGTATTTTGCCCTTTTAATTGTTGAATGAAATATTATGCATACAGGTATCCTTTAAAACTTCAGCATTTATGATGTCTTAGTAGTCTATAAGGGATGGAAAACCAGTATGAAAGCCAAATGGCGTTTTGTAAGGTTCTCTTCTAACGGGTATTGCCAAAATACGTTGCAACTTCTCTTTCCATCCTTGTCAGAGGTTACTGAGAATGTTGGCTTTGTCAGCTGTCCTTATCACCCAAGCCAGATGAATCTTATCTTATAAACTGACTCCATCCTGTAGTTCATGTACATTTTCTCATAGTAATATAGGAATGCTGGGTCCAGATAGGAAGCACATTTCTGTTGCCTTTCAGATCAGCACATACAGAAAGACAGCCTGTATGTGAAGTGTTTAATAGTTACAGACATATGGGCCTTTGAGGTGAGTGTTTTTCATAATTCAACGATTGGGGAACCTGGGCTGGAAATGGTTTTATCAAGTCCAAAAGGAAATGATACAGAAATCTGGTGGATATTTTGCATTGTTTTCCACTTGCAACATTTATATTTCTGCAGTGTGTGTGATGTAGGTAGAAAATCCACCTCACTGGTTTTCTCCATATTTCTTTCTCTCCTCAGATGCAGACAGACATGCTGAACTATCTGGAAGCCCCCTGAAAAGCAAAAGCACTAGGAAACCTTTGGCATGTATCATTGGGTATTTAGGTGGGTATTTTCTCATCGAGGAAAAACTCAAAGACAATTTCTGTGAGTCATAATTATTTAACCATTCTAATTGGACATACCAAGTTCAAGTATTTCAGAAAAGTGGAATTGGGTACTTTCATATGTGTTGTCAGTGTGTTTGGGAAATTTTTATTTTTATTATCAACACACATATTCATACACAGTTGTGGAGTTATGTTTACTTTTTCAAGAAAACTCATTGAGGGGCCAGCTCTGTGGTAGAGTAGATTAAGTCACTGCCCATGGCACTGGCATTCCCATATGTACAAGTCCCAGCTGTTCCACTTCTCATCCAGTTCCCTGCTAATGGCCTGCAAAAGTAATGGAAGATGGCTCAAGTAGTTTGGCCCCTGCACATTTGTGAGAGACCCAGATGGAACTCTTGGCTCATGGTTTCAGCCAGGGGTAAGGCAGGCCAAAGCCAGGAGCCAGGAATTTCATCTGGGTCTCCTATGTGGATCGGGGGCCTGAGTACTTGGGCCATCTTTTACTGCTTTTACGGGCCATTAGTGGGCAGCTGTAGTGAAAGCAGGACAGCTGAAACTCAAACTGGTACCCATATGGAATCCTGGTGTTGTAGGTGGTGGCTTAACCTGGGCCAATGTGTCCCCTGACTTCTCCCTTTAAATAGAGGACTGACTTATCTACTCTCATAAAAATATGAGATCAAACTCATTTCTTATCTATCCTGAAAAAATATTTATGATTTTGATGTGCCAATTAAGATTGCCATGAAAGAGAATGTTTTATATGACTCCCTGATTTCATCATGCTATCTCACACAGAAATCTCCAAAGATGATGGCTCAATTTAATGTTAAAATACAACTAACAATACCATAGCATTACCGAAAGATGACTTCTGATTTTTTAAAGTTTTAAGTTAAATAATTTACACAATAATAATCCCTCATGATACCTAGAAACACAAGTGGCATGATTTCGTGCTTCTAATATTTTTCATTTTCTCAATAAGAGTGAAATATGTAGTGAGAATTGCTCCACACCTTATTGCTCTGTCAGAAAGATTGACAGATAATGTAGCATCCAGACATTCAGTCATTTAGAAATTAAAGTAGGGCCTTGAACTTGGGATGTTATATAGTCCTTACCCATGTCCTAGAAATCTGAAGCTGGCAGCACCCTTGCTGTTACCCTGCGACCTTATTTCTTGTTTTATTTTTTAGAGGAAGAAGAGTTGTTTTGATATCCCCTAAAGTAACGGCATGGTTACCAGGGGCATGATCTAGGCTGTAGTGGTAAAATCCTTTAAGATATCTATCCTTATTCCCAAGCAAGACCAACTCCTGAAAGCCCCTTCCCACCTTACGGGACAAAGTTCTGATCATGAAAATGACAGTGTATTTCTATTGTGGGCCAGTTGGTTTCTGTTCCTACCAGATAAGCCCCATGAACTGCATTCCTACGCAACATATTTCTGTGTGTTTTCTGTACTCAAACACTGTAGTGATTTCGGGTACAGTCACATGAATAAGACGTTGCCCTCAAAGATCTTAGTCTGTTGAGAAAAACACATAAATAATGAAAGAGAATTAGATGCTATAGAGTTCCAGGTCTTAATATGCAGTAGGCACTTGGAGGAAGCAGGAATTATCTCCACTGAGTGTTAAGACTGCCTAACATGAGAGAGTAGTAGTTGATTTCAACAATGGAAAGACACAAGAACATTTTCTCCCTGCATGAGGCCAAGAGAACCAGATGTACAAAGGCCTCAGTGAGTCCAAGAACCCGAGAAGTTGAGGGAAGGCAGGTGGTCTGGTCTGGAGAGACCACTGGAGAGTAGAGTATGCAATGAAAAAAGGTTAGTAGGCATTCAATGCTATGCTTCGGGGGGCGGGGGGAAGGCACAGTTTCTAGGGTAGTACTTAAGCCATTTCTTAATATTGACAAGTGTAAGATTTTGACCAACCTGCTATATAATAATCCTAACAATCTGGATGGCTGTTTCTAAATTTCAGTGAATCAAGCTGATGTCTGCTTTTAGCTGATGTGGTGAGAGAGTAGAAGGCAGAATGGCTTGGGCATGGATGGCATGCTGGGCTATGACTCTGGGATTCAGTGAGCAGGGGAGGCTTTGAAGGCCCAACGTTAGTAAACAGACTGAAATCCCTAAATCCTGTTCCCACACTGTTTGAATTTCTATCCATCTACAGAAAGTGCTAGTAGTTCTAGGCTTTGTGGCTGATAACAATGTACTTCACATATACCGCACACCCAGTGTAGTTTTATGGTGCTTCCTTGGTCAAAGCAGTTCCTCTATCTCTTGCCTATTGTGTTTGGACTTTGGTTTCAGATTGCATTTGTTATCCAAATGTTCTGAGCTAGGCGTGGCTGACCCTGATTCCACATCCTGGGGTGGCAGAGCCACGAGAGGAATCCTGTTTTTCAGAAAACTCACACACCAGGCATGCTGTATGTATGTTCCTGGTTTGATGAGCGCAGAGGTGGCTCCCCCGCTACCCCTGGGGCTACCTCTGCATACATCGTTTTTCTGGTTAGCTTCTTGAAGAGTCAGATGCTTTACTCCCTTGATTAGTCTTGTGTGAAGTGGCTCGCTACCCTGCCCTTTTGTGCTCACAACCTGAGGCTCAAGAGCTCAGGTAACAGAGGGAAAACCTGACTTCCTTGAGGCCTACAGCCATGGCAACAACACTTGAAGCTGATTCATTATGCCAGTCCTTAGCTGCCTCCTAAGGAACAGATTCTGAGCTCATTAAGACGATGTATGCCTATTAGCCAGTGTAAATGCACATGGAGATTCTTAATATGATGTTCTGAGTGAGAAACCTTTTCCACCCCTACCCCCACCCCTGTCAGAGATCCATCCTGCGAAGAAACCTAATGTAATCCGATCTGCACCAAGCCTGCAAACTACAACTACCAAGAGGATGCTAACTACCCCGAACCACACATCTCTGAGCATTCTGGGGAAGAGAAACTACACTCATCACAACGGCCTGGATGGTATGTCAGCCCGGGGTTTCCACAGGCCACTCCCAGGGACCAGGGCCCCTTTGCTTTTGTTCACTCAGTTGCGTCACCTGTCAAGTCCAAGGAATATGTTCTAAACAGGTGTGCTACAGGATGCAAATGTGTGGGAAGGGGTGCAGAGAGACCAGAGGCCATGTGCCGGGGGAAGACCTTTTGCCCAGTGGTGTTTCTTGGTTTTATCAGTGGAACTGCCACAGGAAGGCTTGCCTGACCCCCGAGACCACTGGTTAATAACGTGCTGACTGGGATTCACTTAAGTTGCTTTGAGCAGACATGGCAGTGTTCTCTGAGGGTTCTGGTCATTCTGAATTTGGCATTTTTTCTGTGCTTCTTTTCACTTTATGGATTTTTGTAATTGCTCAAGTGTGCTACAGGTTGTGAGAGGAATTACCTGGGTGATATCCTAAGTGCAGGAATAATAATTGGTTGGAAATGGGAACACTGAGAAATATCACCTCTTATCTGAAGTACTCCTCTCGTGGGCTTGGCCATGTAATGACTTCAGGTAGAACTAAAAAATCTTCCCATTTGAACTCTAAGCACAGCTATAGTAAGTCACTTGGGCAGTGCTGTTCATTTTAATAGTTTTGGATTTTGAAGCTGTCTTTGCTATTTAAGTGTTGGTATTTATTTATGAATAAAACTCTCCAGGCTTGTCATGCCTATGGCACTCGAAATTCCTTCAGTGACAGTAAATTGTTTTGAAACAAGGCCCTAGAGCAGAGCTGTGCAACAGACCTTCTAATAATAATTTCCTATGGTCATTTTTGTTCACTATGACTCTTGATGATCATAACCGTTTCTGAATGAGTAGAAAAAATAATTGGGGGGAGGGGTTGATGAGTACTTTGGCTTGCATTTGTCACAATGGTTTTCATGAAAGTTAGCTTCAGAAACTTGCTAATGAGAACACGGTCTACCTTAGCCATAATGTACTTGTTTTCCAGATGACAGAAGACTCAGGAGGGACTTTATAAAAATGTGGAAATTGGGTTCCTTTCCAGTCTTTCCTTGCCCACAGATTAGGGCCTCTGGATTCTGGCTTACGTGGAATCTGTAACCTTTCTTTTTCTCAGCATTTCACCCACCCCCTGGGTGTATAGTCCTGCTGCTAAAATCATACAATAAGTTCTGGCTGTTTTGCTGTACATGTATATACAAGTATATTCCTTAGGGCGTTGTGACTGATGTTGCGTTACAGCTTTCTGGTGTCCTCTTCCACTCACGTGGCTGTTTTGTGCCCATCCTGGCTGTGTGTTACCATCTATTATGCTTGACTCAGAATCACAGGAGCCCCTTTCCTTAGACTTTCTTTAAAATGGCAACTGGGAATATTCCCTCCCCAGGGCTGTCTTGTGCCATGTTCCTCTGAGTGGAAGTTGCTGGGATGTTACTGCCTTTATGTTCGTGCTAAACACATGCCCTAGACCATGGGAGTACAGAGAGTGAGAATCTGGCCTCAGCCAGGAAAATTACCTGTCTCTTTATCTGCAAAGACCCAGCACTGAAACACTCCTTCAGACGCAACTGTCTCGGCTGACTGCTGGGGTGTGTGGAGAAAAGCTACACCTGCCCTCAACTGCATTATCTCATTGGATCAACATGATAGGAAGTTAGGGGAGAACAGGGAGTTGTGTTGCATATCATTATATCTCTAAGCCTCTCACAGTGTCTAGCATGTAGTAATTCCCCACATACAGTAATTGTATAAATGAAAGTGATTGAGTAAAGTGAGACCTAGAGAGGTGAATTAGCTTGTCAGCAGTTGCCAAGTACTCCATGGATGGATTGGGATTTCCACTAGAGGGTGACTGATTCAGTCTGCTCTTTGGAAACTACTGTTCCAGATGAGTGTGGCTCTCAAGCATGCTGTCCTACGTCAACAAAGTAAAAACACAAGTTTTAATAGCTGATTTCATATGCGAGATCAGCATGTCAGATATTGAAGGACACAAATGGTGAATCTGGAACTTGGAGGAAGTTGTAGGAAGCAGGTGCTGTTCTCAAAGTTGTAAAGCACCACAGAAGGAGCTGGGGTTATTGCAACTAGAAGACCAAGGAGGACTCTGACAAAAGGGCCCTGTGTTACTGGACAGTCATCTGTCAGGAGGGATGATGAGGCTAGGTTTGGGACAAACTGTGGCTACCTGGGACCACACTGACAGGAGCAGGAAGGAACAGGTTCCTCCTAGAACTCTTCTAGAGCCTTGCAGGTTCCATGTAGCAACCCCTACTGGCATAATAGAACAGGACAGCAAAGGAGAAATGGGTGTTCTGGGACCGGGTCTTCCCAGCAGGAATCTGTTGAGTATAGAGCCAAGAAGCCAAAGTGTAACAGAAATACACATTTTGGAAAGTGTGTACCCTCTTGTATTCCTAATGAATCCTTTCCCCTGGATGCTGGGTCTTTTCTTATTTCCAGGTAATATAGAATCCTGACCAAGCTGATTTTCCAGGATAAACTGAATGTACTGGGAAAAAAAAGTTTGCCCAGTGATGAATTTTCATGGGACAACAGACACAAACTCATGGGAAGACCTGGTCTGACAGGGTCTCTGTGCTCTATGTGGCCTGTTAATCTAACTGCACGGCCCCGGGCAACACACAGACTCTGATGACCAGGAAGGTAAAGCTGAAATCTGCATACACAAGATGCCTCAGTCCTGGGAATCAGTAATAGCAGTGATGTGGGCTTGAGGGATTTAATTTTCAATCCAGGTTCTTGCCTGATTCAGATGTCAGAATTCTGAGTGGGTGCATCCATAGCCCATACAACTGAGAACAGGAGTCACTTGAAAGTGAGAGAAAAAACATTCACACATGTGTATAGACTGCCCCACATGGAGAGATATTGGTCATGAGTGGTAGACCAAAGGATCCCCAGAGGGAGAGAAGGAAAATTAGTACCCCCATCTGAAGTTAGGAGAAAAAAAAACTGGCTGTCCCTCATTTTCAGCCTCTTTTAGCATGTGTGAAGCTGTCTGGAAATTTTGTAGCACCTTCATGAGGAGTTTAATATCCATATGGTCATCCTGATGTGTCTCCTGGATGAGACATGGATACATCCTAGGAAGGTGGGTGCTTATGATTGACGGGTAAAGATGTATCATTATATAAGAATATTTCTGCCCACCTAGGCCTAACTAACTGCCTGCCTATCCACATTATATCATTAGGAAGAACGAAGGTTTGAAATTATAGACCAAAATTAAGATATAGCACCTTGTTGATCTCTCTACCCTTCAGTCTTTTCTCTTAGCTGTTGATCCAGCCATGTTCCATGTGCTGCCATGATGGTTTCCAAATCCTGCCTCCTCACTCACTCTCCCACCTTTTAAAGATTTTTAAATTTATTTTTATTGGAAAAACAGATTCACAGAGAGGAGGAGGAAAGAGAGAAAGATCTTCCATCTATCTGCTGGTCACTCCCCATGTGGCTGCCAAGGCTGAAGCTGAGCCAATTCAAAGCCAGGAGCTTCTTCCAGATCCCCTATGTGGGTTCAGAGACCCAAGGCTTTGGGCCCTCCTCTACTGCTTGTCCAGGCCACAGTCAGGGAGCTGGATGGGAAGTGAAGAAGTCAAGACATGAACTGGTGCCCATATGGGATCCTGGGACATATAAAAGCAAAGATTTAGCCATTGAACCATCATGCCAGACCTGCCTCCTCCTTTTCCCCCTCTCCCTCTGAGGATCCTTAGGTTCACCACTCATGACTTAGAGATTTCTGACATCATTACTGTTAGCAAACCAAGCACCTGCCACATATGGCCTAGTTGGTTGATTCCCAAGTGCCTCAGCAGGGACATAAGAATCCATCCTGGGAAGCTGTTCCATGTGTCAGGCCCCAGTACTTGGGTAACAGGGACGCAAGACTTGTCTGTGCCATGAGCAGGAGGCATGGAAGGACGATGTATGAGTGTTTGGAGTCAGAGAGGACTGACTGCTGACTTCCCTGATTACTTCCTGAGTAAGCATGGGTGGATCCCTTTGCACCTGCTTTCTCCTCTGTAAATCTGCTAAGTGCAGATCACATTTGCCTTTCAGAATTTTTTGCAAGTGATTAACATTTTGAATGCTAGTCAAGTAAAAAGCCAAATTTCAGAGAGGTTATGGGATTTACCAGACACATAAGGAACAGAGAAAGGCTTTCCACTCCAAATCTGCTGCTTTCCCTGCTGAATGAGTAAGGCCCCAGTCTGTGTGGAGCACAGCAGGTACTACATTTATGGTCTCTGTGCTTGGGAGGTGGGTGTGTTTTTGCAAATCTCTAGAGAAATGTGGCGGGTGTTTTTATTACTTGATTTAGTAAGTATAATAACTTTTCATTTTTAATTGCTTTTATTTTTATTTTAAAAGCGTATTTATTTACTTTGAAGAGAGATTGATATTGATATTGATATTTCATTTGCTGGTTCACTTCCCAAATAGTCTAAAATAGCCAGGAACTCCATCAGGGTCTCCCACATAGGCAGCAAGGGCCTAAAGCACTTGATCAGCTTCTACTACATTCTCAGGCACATTAGCAGGGAGCTTGATCCAAAGCAGAGTATCCTGGACAGGAACCAGGAGCTCCAACATCAGATGCTGCTGTTGCAGGAGATGACTTACCTCTCCTGATCCCCAAGCCGAAGTGCTGGCCCCTATCATTGTTGAATAAAAACCCTTCACCTCCCTTCCTGCTCTGTCAAGCTGCTCTGCCATATCAGACTGTTCCTCACTCTGGCAGTTGGGGCCTGGGAACTAGATTAGCATTAAGAGGAGGAGGAAAGAAAGGAGAAATTCAAAACCATGTTTGAGTCAAATCCTATACTATTCCCAGCATAGGTTGTAGATATTCGTTAAATGTCAGAATTCTATCTACATTTTAAAAGAGCAACTGCTATTACATTTTATTTGGAAATTACTAAGATACCAGCCATTTTTTTATCAGTGAATTGTTTATGTGTGAATTGTTTATAAATAAGATGTCAAT